AAGTGTTTCTTATTTCTAGGCCGACAGAGTATGTGATAGTTTATATTTTCCTGATCACTACAGAGAACCTGTCTCCGTGACTCTATTCAGTGTACGGACTACCTAGTTGACACTCATTCTGCCCTTGTTCTCCTCAGACCTCCCCAAAGATGTTGAACCCAGCTCTCTTCCCTGGAATCCTATAGTAATTTTTTAGGGAGCTTTGCGCCTATAAGGGATGACTCTTTCTGTGGAAGTATGATGTGTTTGTACACACATGTGTGTGTGTGCATGGGCGCGTAACCACACACATAGTAACAATTACAGGTCAAGCAACAGATTCCATCACTCTTTAGATTGTTTTGTTTTAGAGACAACATTTCACTCTATAACACAGGCTAACCAGCACAGGACTAAGTTCTGAATTTCCATATGTTAACCACCATCATTTTTTGTATTTTGAGACACGGTCATTTTATCGCCTTGCCCGTCCTGGTCTCACTATGCTAGCCTAGGCTGGCCTCAGCCACACAGAAACCCGCCTACCCTGCCTCCTGAGTCCTGGGATTAAAGGTGTGCATCACTGCAACTGGTCAACCACCGTTCTTTGTACAATTCTTCCTACCATTTTAACTGCCCTTCTCCTGTCTGCCTTTTTGGTTGCCTTTAGCACCAACATTGAAAGGGCCCTTAACCCTACCCTAGTGATTCTTCCCTCTTTATCACACAGAGCAAGCCAACAGGCAAACAGGAGGCTGAGTTGAAAGCCACAAAGTTGAGAACAGCCTCCTGTACAGCTGTGAATGTCTAATTGTCATCATTCATTATGAGCACACAGTAGGTCATCTATTTTCTTTTGCCTCTATTTCCCCCAGCTGTGCTGGTTTGCTGTAATAAGACACTGGTCAAAAGCACTTTGGAGAGAAATGGGTTTATTGAGCTGACACATCCCAGTCATAGTCCATCATAGAGAGAAGTCAAGGCAGGAACTCAAAGCGGGAACCTGGTAGCAGGAACTGACACGGAGGCTGTAGAAAGTAGTGTTATCTATCAGGTATAAATAGGCTCCTTCTTTAACTCGTCTTCTTCCTTTCCCGTTCTACCCTCCCTCACCCTTCATGTCAGTGTTCTCTAAGGAATAGCTGACAGAACACACATATTCACACTCCCCTCATCATATACATTATATATCATTTATATGTATGCGTGTGAGCATGTATGTGAGCATGCGCGGTTCATTAGTGTAGCTTATAGGCTGCAGTCATGGTATCGCTTCACGGCTACAGAAAAGCAAGACACTCCTCCTTTTACTTTGTGTTACTTTGTAAGACGTTCCTTCAGGTGTTTCTAGCATCCTTTTAGGACTACCTGGTAAACTCCATAAGTCTAGCTAAGGAGAGAAAACTAAGGTTGTGATACAGTGTAGCCAACTTCTGACCCCATCCCACTATGCTCTGCTTTCTGGTTCAGCTTTCTTTTACCGCTGTTCTGACGACAGCAGCTTGGAGAAGATTCTTGGTGGAGCAAAACTTCCCTAGCTCTTTCTGACACCTATCTCCTAATCTAGTTAACTACTTTAGCTTTAAAAGAGAAGCGTAGAGTTGAAATGCAAAAAAACGCATTTAAAACATTAACTTTGTAGAACCGTAAGACCCAAATAATAAGCTTTATTGTTTTTAACAAGAAGGCATCAGAACTCCAAAGGCAGGGCAATTAGATCCTTTTTCAGACCTCTTGGAGGAAGGCAAGTATACAAAGCCCAGGTGCTCTGCTGAGGAAGGAATGCCTGCCTGGACACTGGTGAAGCCATCGGGTCAGTGCTGTGCTGAGCCAACTCCTCCAGATGCTGCAGAGGGAAGCTTAGCCAGATGTGATGTAGCACAACTGCGGCTTCAGCATTTGGGGAGACTGAGGCAGGAGGATTATACATTTAAAGTCAGCCTGGTCTGTTGTGGAATAGTAATTTTAGACACGTTACATTTGTTTGATCAAATAAAATTAGCCTGGGATCAGGAGGTTGAGACAGCAGCTAGCTGACAGGAAGTGGGAGGAGCCAGGTGTAGCTAGGGTTCTTAAGTCAGGGCGAAGCAGAAGGCCTACGGGCTGCTTTTTGAGAGAGAGGGTTAGCTACTAGTTATTCAGTTTTGCTGACAACCTCTGATTCCTGAGTTCTATGGAGGAATAGAGATCTAGACAAAGTTTCTTTAGTGGCTGTGATAGTCAGTGCTCCAGGGAACAGAATTCCTGCCTGGCTACGGCCAATGCGATCTAACTACTACTGGTAGCTGAGGGGTTGCAATTGCCGATTAGGACAGCAGTTTCTTAAGGGGCAGCTACTTGAATTTAATGAAAAACAACACTCTATAGCAAATCCATATAACATTCCATAGCCAAAAAGAATGGTTCTATAGTTGGCATTTTCTTTGGGCTGCCAACTACCTCCCAAATAAAGACACGGAGACCTGTTTAGCTTGTGCTTGTCCCACTAGCCCTTATAACTAAACTTAACCTGTTTCTATTCAGCTACATTTTGCCTCGGGGCCTTTTGCCTTACCTTTCTTTCGTTCTTTATGTCCTGCTTTCCTGCTTCTTCCACGACTGTTTGGCTGACTGGCCTGTAACATCTCCCTGGCGTGTCTTTTTCCTCTCTCTGTCTCTCTGTCTCTGTCTGTCTCTCTCTCTCTTCTAGATTTGATTCCCCTTCTTCTTACTTTCTCTGCTTGGAAGTCCTGCCTACACCTCCTACCTATTGGCTGTTTAACTTTTTATTAGACTAACCAGGTCCTAGAGAGGCAAGATAAAGAATCATCTTTACATAGTTAAGCAAACTCAGCACATCTTTGCATATTTGAACTAATATTCCACAACATGGTTCCATGCCTGTAACTCCAGCACTCAGGAAGCTGAGGCAGGAGGATTGTAGTGAGTCTAAGGCCAGGCTTGGTTACCAAGTGAGTTTCTTATGCCAAGGCTATGTAAGACAACCATAAATATGGAGTCAGGGAGACACACTGTTTTAATCACTTTATTTTCAGAAATAAGTTAGAGAACTTTATTAATTCATTACATTTACTGAGGTTAATGGAAATTTAACCCTGGTTGGATATTTCTGCACTCTGGGTTAAGTTATATGTGGGATATTTTGATAATATAGTAGAGAAGGAACAATGTGAGGTTGGAACTTTAGTGTCCCCCAGTCTCTTATAAAGGCTTGGTTCCCATATGGGGATGTATTGGGAAGTGACAGAATGCCTGAGACAGGGCTCTTGTGACACATCTGTAAGTCATTGGAGGGACTCGGGACAGACATTCAAAATGTGAATACTTCCAACGCAAGGCATTTATTTACTTACGTGGAGACAGAGTTTCATGTAGCCCAGGTTTCTCCTGCTTCTACCTTCCCAAGGCTGGGATGATAAGCCTGAGTCTCCATAGTGGATTTTCTTACCTACATTCAGAAGGGCATTTTTCAGTGTCCCTAAATTATATCACAGGCTGTAAACTCAAATGCCACAGGTCTTGGGTGGATTCTAAAGGCAGAGAAAAGCTAAATACTTCTAGAGTTTAAATCTATCTTCTGTTCTAAAGCAGATATTGCTTTAGGTCATCTTGACCACTGCCGCCAGGCTTCAGTGAAGACCGGATCTTCTCATTTATTCACAAACTATCAACAATCCATTTCTTTCTTCTTTTCACTCTGTCAGCAAAGATCTTGGGAAAAAAGACTAGCATATTGATCATCAGTTATCAAGATCTATTTCCTAGTGATCCTGGTGGTCTGTGCGAAGGGAGCTAACCAAGGGGGATGAGGAATCCACCTTTCCTGAATTTGCTAGTTCTTTAACCTAAAATACCAAATCAAAAAACTATAACATGCATTCACCTTGGAAAGTGGGATCATGAATGTTATGTCTGTGTTAAAAAAAATTAATTTCAGTTTTATTTTGTTTTCTAACGGAAGAACTTCTCATGGTAGGAGCCTAGGGACTTAGCATCTCCATCTTTGCCTTGACCCTCTAGCACTGACACTCTCTATACACATTTCCTCTTTAGGTAATTAGGGCAGAGCTACTTCAATCCCAGAGGCTAGGAATCTAAAATTTCCCATCTCCAGATCCCAGTCCAAGAAGGCAACCCACACCTGGGCAAGAAAGACTGGTTTTCTTCTCTAGCCGAGGACTGGGCTGAAAGAACCGTATTCAGCACAAGACACCCCAAGACCAAGTTCTCAGCACAAAGGTGATTCATTTGCCCCAGAAGGACGAAGAGCAAGGGAATAAGAGACACAGATGGAGACAGAGGATGAGGGAGAAGGAAAGAGGAATAAGGGAGAGGGGGAATATTTGTTGGAGAAGGACAAAGGACTACCTTTGCATAGAGAGGCCCATAGGCAAATGACAGTTTGTAAAGGTTAAAGGGGAGACACCGTGTTAGGATGAGGTGCTTAATTTTGATTGGGCATGTTAATTAGGGCAGCCAAAGGGGGCTTTTGATTGCTGGACTTTGCCATGGTCTGGCTGCCTAGAGCCCCTTCACGACCCTCTCTCAAACCTCAATTCTTTCTCCCAGGGATGAAGTGAAGAGTCAGACAACATGATTGATTAGCCTTTCTGAATCTCAGATTCATTTCTAAAACGCGATTATGCCAGCTATCTCAAAGGACTGTAGTGAGGTAATCCTAGCGTTTAAGAAGTGCTGGCAGGACAATCAGGGGTTCATGGCCATCTCAGCAACATAACCAATTGTAGAGCAGTCTCGGCCGAACGAGACCCTGTCAAAAAAAAAACTCGGGCACACTGACACACAGAACCGCAGGGCTCCGACACTAGCTATTTACAGACTCCCACTTGGAGGCTCAGCATCCGAGTGGCTCGTCTGCCTACAGCTTTTCAGGCCACACTCAAAGTAGCCAATCCGAGGCTTGGATCCGCTGCTAGGGTGACAACAGGCTCCGCCTTCAGGTGTGCTCGAACGGCATGCTGGGAATTGCAGTGTACGGGGGCGGTTATTCACCGTGGTGGCTAGCCGCTTCCGGTGAGGACACTATACTGCCGATTCGAGGTCGTCGCAGGGGCAGACTTGGCGTGGCCAGAAATAATTTCTCTTTCCCGTGGCCGCTGGAGCCGTACCTGAAGGCGGCTATGGGCGCACTGAACCCAAGACGGTGGATGAGAGCAAGGCTAAGGGACCCGGAAGGTTTGTGGCTTCCGCCCCACAGAGGGCTCCGCACCGATTACGTCACTTCCGTAAACAAAGGGCGCTGCGGAGGCGCGGGTCCCAAGCTGGTGACCGGACTCTTGCTGCAGCTGTAGCAGAGGCTTTGGACGCTCTCTGACCTTTTCCAGTTGAGGGAAAGGACATAGCCTCTTCCTACGGTATGTAATGGGATGAGGGGACTCCCGCAACCTGCTCCTTCGGGCCCTTCAGCACCCGCTCCGGTTACTGCTGGGGATTGATTGGTCATCACTGCGGTGGGTTGCGGAAGGGAAATGAAGGCAGAGCAGAGGCCACCCCGGTGGTCCTGGTTAGATAACATTCAACCGTGAGCAGCAGTTCGCCCTCTCTAGAACGGTCTCTGGTGCTTGTTTAGGATTTCAGGTTCTGGGACAAATGTTATCCTCCAGAATTGAGTAAATCTCAAACTTGCTCCCTAGGAGACCATTGGTTTATTTGCGATGCTTTACGTGTTAACTATTTTTTTTCTTCTGTCACTAAATGTGTATTAGCACCCTTAGGATTAAAGGTTAGTGTGTTTATATGTATCATGAATTTATACAGAGCCTCTCCTCTTGGAGACCCGCTTTGTCATCTTTAAACTTCTTTTTAATCTGTATTACATGATAAACAATTAGCAACTAAGTCAAGTGGATTCACTATTCACAAGTGAGATTAGAATCTGGATGTTGGGCCCTTTCCCAAGAAAGCCATCTATTAGATAGCAAAACAAAAACAAGAAACAAAAATCCAACATTGTCTTTTTAATTCCCAAGACGGTTTCTGACTTTTAAAACAGTCGCGGCAGGATTGAATTCAACACTTTTAAATGTTAAATTTAATGGCCATGTATGAATGTTTTGCCTGCTTGGATGTCTATGCACCGTTTGCATACAGTGCCCCTGGAGGCCAGAAGAGGGCATTGGATAGCTTGGAACTGAAGTTACAGATTGTTGAAAGCCACATTGTTGGTCCTGGAACTCGAATGAGTCCTTTGGAAGAGCAGCCAGTGGCTCCTAACTGCTGGGCTGTCTCTCAAGCCCGACGGTATTTCTTTTTAAGACCTGACATTCATAATGCAATTAACAATTTGAAGGAATGAATAGGTATGTTTCTGACGGCTTTGTGATTCATTAATAATAGAATTAAGAAAAACTCAAATCTAAACAACCAGTATAGTGACAAATGCCCATCATCCCAGCACTTGGGAACAAAGAGGGCACGTCATCACAAGCTGGAGGCTAGCATGGCTTACATAGTAATTTCTCAACCAACCAGAAACATAGAGCCAAACTTTTCCTCAAAAAGAAAAGGTGAGTCTCGCTGAACATAGTGGACAATGAGGACTACTGAGACCTCAAGAACAATGGCAATGGGTTTTTGATCCTACTGTACCTATTGGTTTCGTGGGAGCCTAGGCAGTTTCGTGGATGCTCACCTTACTAGACCTGGATGGAGGTGGGTGGCTCTTGGACTTCCCACAGGGCAGGGAACCCTGATTGCTCTTTGGGCTGATGAGGGAGGGGGACTTGATTGGGGGAGGGGGAGGGAAAGGGGAGGCGGCGGTGGGGAAGAGACAGAAATCTTTACTAAATAAATAAATAAATAAAAATTAAAAAAAAAAGAAAAGGTGAGGTGGTGCACACTTGTGATGCCTTTAATCCCGTCACTCAGGTGACAGAGGCAGGTGGATCTCTGGGAGTTCCAGGCCAGCCTTCTGTACAGAGCAAGGCCTGCAAAAACTCTACAGTGGTGCATAGCATACCAATCTAGTGTACGTGACATAAGCCTTAAAGTTGCAGTTTAGACTTCCGATGCCCTGATAGGCATCTGTTTGAGTCTTGTTTGGAAGGGAGATTGAAAGGCCAGCTAAAGCTTCCGTGAGGCTGCAGGTTTGCATGGGTGATCGGCTTATAATGGCCACCTTATGTAATGGTGACTTCTTGAGATTAAGGGCTTTGTCTTATTCGTTATCGCTTCCCCAGGACCGACAGCAGTGCCTGGCCTGTGGAGGAGAATCAGTAGATGCTTAGATGTGTGATGAGAGAAAATGCTAAAAAAGATTATTAGACAGTCTTCATAAAGATCTTTATGTGCACTAGCAAAGTAGATTAGACATAAGGGGATTCCTTGTTCTAACTTAATGACTTGAGATTCTTGCTCCTTTGGCCTGTGGAATGTGTCTTTGTCTCTCTCTTTACATATTGTAGCTTATAGCTGTAATCACAATAGTTCCCTACTTAGGTCTTATGAAGCTGCTGTTGATGCAACAAAGAACTTGAAGCAATGGAAGAGCGGAAAGCGAAGAGGAAGAGTCCCAAGTCTTTCAGTGCCCACTCTACTCAGGTTGTCAATGCCAAAAAAAATGCCATCCCAGCTAGTAAGAGCACAGGCTTTTCAAATCCCACGGCACAGTCAACGTCCCAGCGGCCAAAGTTAAAGAGGTGAGTTTTTGTCTTTGACATTTCACAGTAATGTGCTAATAAGTAGTTATCTCCTCTGCCCAGCCTCTTTTCCTCTGGTGGTTTGACTTTTCCCAATGCTGCAGATTAAATCCGCGTCCTCGCCCATCCAATGTTCTACCTCTGAGCTACAGTCTCAGCCCAGGCTTTGACTCTAAAAGCAATGACTATGAGAGTTTCATGTGAATAAATATTCAGAAAGGGGTTGTAAGCTCTGAAGAGATCGGTCAGTTGCTAAAACTCTGGTCCTACAAACCAGAAGGCTTGAGTTTCATTCATCCCTAGAACCCACATAAAAATACCTGGAATGGTAGCTCATTCCTGTCATCCCATCCTAGGGAACACAAGAGGAGTCCTGGGGCTTGCTGACCAGACGGTCTACTTTACTTGCTGACTTCAAAGAAAGCGCCCCCGGAGATGAGATCTAAGAGTACCCTCTGACCTCCACATGCCTGCACACACACACAGGCGCAACCACACGACCATGCACACCCTCATGCACAGATGTACATATGCATAAAGGAAACAAATTTTAGTAAAGAGAGTTTTGTAGTGTATGCCTCTTTTCTTCTGTTACCTGATGAAGTTACCTAGTAGATAAAAACTTGCAAATTTGAAAGAATGAGAAAAATACATTTGCTACACAGAAACCATAAAATCTACAGTGGATTTTTCTCTACTTTTAAAGAGAGTAGGGGGATTGTGGGATCTTTTTAAGCTGCACATTCTGGATCAGCAGGAATGGGTCTTCACGTGATAATCTCACAGGTGAGGTCATGGACAGCACTTGTGGTATTTCTTGTCAACTTGACACCTGCCAGAGTCAGCTGGGTCTTCAACTGAAGAAGTGCCTCCATCAGATTGGCCTGTAGGCAATTCTGTAGGACATTTTCTTGATTATTTATTGATATTGGATGGCCTGGCCCGCTGTGGGTAGTGCCACCCTTGAGAAAGTGCTTCTGGGTTGTATAAGAGAGCAGGCTGAGCAAGCCAGTCAACAAACAGAGTCCCTGTGTGGGCTCTGCTTCAGTTTCTCCCCAGGTTGCTTTCTGTCATGGTCTTCATGACAGTAAGAGGAAGCAGAAGTAAGGATCTGAGTGATGGCAATTAATACCATATGAAATACCGGTATAAAAACACAGGCCTTGGGGCTGGGGACCGCTCAGATAAAGAGCTCGCTACACAAGCATGAGGATCTGAGTTGGAGCCCCAGCGTCCTTGTGAAAAATCAAGGTGTGGCAGTGCATGTCTGGACTTCAGCACTGCAGCGCACACCGCCTGTCTACGCTCTATGTGCTACCATACAGTTCGCGAGGTTCGGGCAAGGGGCTGGAGGTTGAAACACACAAACAAACACAGAGACAGAGAGACAGAGACACGGACCTCTAGTCACTGGTAAGAAGCCCTTTTTCAATAGCCCCCATGAAAGCTTATATACCCAACAGTCAGGTGGGCCAACAGGTGAAAACCTTATCCTCTGATCCTCAAGGCAAGGCAACACGTGCTCGTGAAGCAGAGCTGGTAAACAACTTTGACACAGCTTTTAGTAACTCAAATCAGAAGGAAAGTAAAGATCTAGCAGGGAAGAGCAGCTGGAGGCCAGGACTCCAAATGGTTCCAACACGGCACCATCATTGTGAACATAGAAATCCTTGGGGCTTGTTGATCCTTGTTGATGCAGTCTAGCCAATGTGGCAAGCTCCAGGTTTGATGAGTGAGTCTGTCTCGAAAAATAAGGTGGAAAGCAACAAAGGAAGATGTGTCTACCTGACGTCAACCTCTGGCCACCCCACATTCATGCGTGTAAACGGAGAGTGCTTCTGTTTCCCGGCCACCGGACCCGAATAATCACACAAAAACTATTAATTACAACACTGTTTGCCTGATGGCTCAGGCATATTTCCAACTAACTCTTACATCTTAAATTAACCCATTTCTATTATTTTTTATCACCTTACATCTTCTTGGATAGCTACATGGCATTTCCCTGACTCCGCCTTCTTTCCTCCTCTCTCTGCTTGGATTTCCTGCCTTGCTATATTGTGCCCTGCCAAAGGCCAAAGCAGCTTCTTTATTAACCAATGGTAATAAAACATATTCGCAGCATACAGAGGGGAATCCCACATCACATGCACACACATGTACATGCATGCACTGCATAACACACACAATATGCAAACCTTTCCATGTGAAGAACTGACAGACTATGAGTTCTAAATTTATTTTCTCCTATTGGTTTTTTTGTTTTTGTTTTTAAGAAGTACTTCACTATGTTGCTTTGGCTGGCCTGGAACTCACTGTGTAGACTAGGCTGGCCTTGAACACGTAGGACTCTCTTCTTCCCTTCCTCCAGAATGCTCAGATTAAAGCTGTACTCCAGGTTCCAATTTTTTTTAATTTTCATTTTATTCATATGGGTGTTTTGTCTTTAAGTCTGTTTGTGCATGCTTCATACCTGTGGATGTCAGAAGAGAGAGTGTTGGATCCACTGTAACTGGAGTTAAGACAGTTGTGAGCAGCCATGTGGAGGCTGTAAATTGAACCCGGGTCCTCTGGAAGAGCAGCTAGTGCTCTTAACCAATGAGTTATCTCTCCAGCCTGAATTCTAAATTTCTTAAGAGTTGTTAGTTTCTTTACCCAACCGCATCGATGGGCTTACACTCCCAGAACCTCACACAAAGATGTCTGTGCACATACACACGCCCTATTTATCTTATCTTTGTAAGTATAGTTGTGGGGATGAAGTCTTCATTCATTATTATGTCAAAATCAAGTACTGCGTCTCTGTAGGTGGCTGGCTCTGTGCCTCGTGATCTCCTGTTTCTCCTGTTTTTATATAGGAGTGTGCATGGTGCCATCTCCCTAGTGTCTGAGAGCCTGGTGTATGCAGATGCATGTGATAAGAATTAATCAAAGGTTCCCAGGTGCCTTTCTGGGGCAATCACAGCTAGACTGAGGCTTGAAGGGATTGTGAGCAGTGGCCTGGCAAAGATGGTGGGAAGTGGAGGATCTGAATGTAGGACCAGGACTCAGATAAGAAGATGGCCAATGTACTTCTAGGAGGCTAATATGGTTAGGGACTGACTGGTTGTTTTATTTGAAACTGCATCTCACTAGGTGGCCCTCATTGTCCTTGGATTCCTGTAAATCAGGCAGATTATCCCTCTGCCTCCTTCCTCTGCATTGGGATTAAAGCTTTGAACAGCCACACCCAAGGAGAGTAGGGTTTCTTAAGAAACCTGCCCTTGAAGGTTTAAATTATACGACCTGGCATTATTTTGAAAGGAACTTGTCTGCTTCATGGGGAAGGAAAGGGGACTAACGACCATACATAGGACCAAGTGGCCCATCTGGGAAGGTGTGGGGAGCTGTTAGGTCAAGATACAAAATGGTGGCAGTGGCTAAGAGGAGCAATAGCGATGTTATATTACATTCCTCAGCCAGACTTTGAAACTGCATGAGGGGCCGCACAGAAGGTGGCAGAATTCAGGATGCTACCAGGTGCTCGAGTTTGGGTTTTAAATGTTTCTCTCCTAAGCCCAAGCACTCGCGGTATGCTGTCTTCAGAGCAGGAACCCAGAACCACTCACCCAGCTATAAAAAGTTCAAAAATACCATTTAGAAAGTAGAGTGTGTAGCCAGGCAATGGTGGTGGCCTTTAATCCCAGCATTTGGGAGGCAGAAGGAGGTGGATCTCAGTGAGTTTGAGACTACCCTGGTCTACAAAACAAGTGCCAGGACAGCCAGGACTGTTACACAGGGAAAGCCTGTCTTGGAAAACAAAAAACAAAGTAGAATGTGTGCTGTGTTTTACTGAGAAATGAGATATACAAATTAGGACCCTGAAAAGATTTACCAATTTTCTTTTCAATACCTTTTCAGTCTAACAAATTAGCATACTGCATAAACGCAGCAACCAAACTTTCTACATTTCTCAGTGACTACACTTTATATAGTTGGGATTTTTCACCACCTGTTTTCATTTGCTGTTGGCTCGAGGTTTCAGACTTTACCTAGTATTGACTCTTTTCTGATTTCCTGTTTTTAAGACATTTATGTAACTGAGAAGTGAAGCAGGCGTTTAATCTAGAACAGTCTGGAAGATCTAACCGAGCTCCGTTGTGTCTTCTCTGCAGAGCGGTGAAAGAAAAGAACAAGCCTCCGGGAGGAGAAGGGAAGGGGGCCCAGTCCACCCCCATCCAGCACTCCTTCCTCACAGACGTCTCCGATGTCCAGGAGATGGAGCGCGGGCTCCTCAGTCTGCTAAATGATTTCCACTCGGGGAAGCTGCAGGCGTTTGGTAAGACAACAGTGTGCGCTCCATGCCTTTTCTTGAGGATGTTTGCATCCCGTTTGCTACAGTGTCTCATTCTTCCTTTTGTTTAGTATGTTCTTGTGTGTGTGTGCATGCGTGTGTGTGTGTGTGTGTGCGCGTGTGCATGCGTGTGTGCGTGTGCATGTGTGTGTGTGTGTGTGTGCGTGTGTGAAAGCAAAATGACCCTTGGGTGTCATTCTTCAGCACCATCCACCTACTTTTGTTTGAGGGGCTCTCAAAGTATCTTTTTCTTTTATTAAAAAGCAAAGGAACACTGGATGTGGTGACTCATGCCTGTAATCCCAGTATCTAGAAGGTAGAAGCAGGAGGATGAGAGATCCAAGGTCATCCACAACTACGTAGAGAGTTTGAAGCCATTGTGGGCTACTGAGACTGTGAGCATGCCCAGAGAGGGCTTAGGATGTGGCTTTGTTGGTAGTTGGTAGACGGCCTAGTGTTACAAAATCCTTGGTTTGACACCTGCACTACAGAAAGCCAGGCACGGAAGTGCCCATCTCTAATCCTACCTCTCGGGAAATAGAGGCAGGAGAGCTAGACAGTTCAGAAACATCCTCAGCTACACAGTGACTTTGGAGGCAACTTGTGCTACTTGAGACCTGCCTCAGAAACAAATAAACAAGAACACACACTCAGTGTTGGGGGAGAGGGAAAGAAGGGAACCACAAAATATAGAGACACAAAATTTAAGAATTTTAGATTTTATTGTCATGGAATATAATTTGCTCCCTAAAATTATTGGGGGGATTTTTAAAAGGGAGTTTTCAGGGCCAGAGAGTTGTCTTAGTGGGTAAGAGATGACTTAGTGGGTAAGACAGTTAGTCGTCCAGCCGTCAGGACCTGAGTTTGTACCCTAGCACCTGTGTTAAAAGCTGGGCATGGGCACAGCCAGACCTGGAACCCAGAGATACGGGAAGCAGATTTCTGGAGCTTACTGCTGTCAGCCTTGGTCCAGGTTCTCAGAAAGACCTGGTCTTAAAGGAATAAGGCAGAGTGATGGACAGGACAGCTGACATCCTCCTCTCTGGCTTCTGCACGCCAGCATGCACAGGTGCACTCCTGCACACTACGTAACACCACACTTACACTTAGGTACACACACAAGGGAAGATGAGCGGAAATGTTAAAGTAGGATGCTGTTATGGAATAACCGTCCTGAAGTGCTTGTTTAAATTAGATTCTTCATCCCTATGTATGGTCTTGTATGCCCCTTCTTTAGAAAGCAACCTAATTTATTTCTGAAAAACAAAACCATATCATATAATTTATCTATTTAAAATAATAGGGAAGTCTTTATTAGTTAAACCAATTTAGACTTAGTGTGGTCAATTTTCTTTTGATTTTTTTAAAGTGTCTTGCTCTGTACGTAGCCTGATTATCCTGGAGTCCATGATCTTCTGTCTCAGCTTCCACGCACTGGGAATTTTTCCCCTTTTGAGGCAGGGGCTTGTATAGCTCCGGCTGGCTTTAAACTCACTCTGTGGCTGAGGGTGATCTTGCGCTTGTGATTTTCCTGTTGCTATGCATCTCCAACTGCTAGGATTATAGTCCCATGTTTATACAGGCTGGGAATTGAATGTGATCTTTGTGACTGTTAGACAAGCATTCTGCCAACATTCTTATCCTATTTTTTTTTTCTTTTTTGAGGCAGGAACTCATGTATTATAGGCCAGCCTTGAATTCATTATGTAGCATAGGCTACTCATGAATTCTTGATCCTCCTCCTGTCTCCAGGTTCCAAGGGCTGAAATAGAGGAGTGGTTCATTCACCACACCCAGCCCTAATTTTATTTGTAATAGAAGTTTCCTGCAGTAGATATTATCTTTAATTTTTTTTGCCAGTCAAGTGAAATTTTTTTAATGGCCATCAAATTTGAATTTCTATGTCTACTTGTCTACTAGTTGGATTGTTCTTTTCAGGATCTTTACATAGTTTTTAGTTTGGTAATTTTCTTCCTTCCTTCCTCTTTCTTTCTTTCTTTCTTTCTTTCTTTCTTTCTTTCTTTCTTTCTTTCTTTCTTTCTTTCTTTCTTTTTTTTTTGGTTTTTCGAGACAGGGTTTCTCTGTAGCTTTGGAGCCTGCCCAGGAACTAGCTCTTGTAGACCAGGCTAGGATTAAAGGTGTGCGCCACCACTGCCCAGCTAGTTTGGTAATTTCTTACTTTGTCATTGTCAGGAGCCCTTTGTATGTCTTACACATAAACAATACACTTTTTAAACTTATTTTTCCAAATATATTTATGTCTACAGATGTTGGGTATCTTCTTTGGTCCTGTGAAGTGCTGGAGTTTTATGTACTCAGATCTCTCTTCTTGTGGTTTCTGGGTCTTTAGTCCTTGGTAATGCTTATACTGGACAAGGACTCAGGCCCGAAATCTCAGTACTGGAGCCACTGAGGCAGGAGAATCATGACTTTAAGGCCAGGCTGGATTACATAGGAGCCTCTGACTCTAAATAAATAAGCATTATTTACTTCACAGACATGTTCCCCCATCTCATGCTTCACTGCACCCCAACAACATGGTATCCCAAAATGTTTTCACTTCTTCCTCTCACTTCTTCCTCTCTTCCCCATTCACTTGTTCTCAGTGGCAATCTCTGGACCTCTTTTACTTTGCTTCCTCCCTTAAGGTCAGGTGACTTTGTGTTTGATTGAAGTCCTTCCTTCCCGGTGTTGTCACGCAGCCCTGTGCTGTAAGTGTTGCCATGAAAACTCCGTTGCTAGTCAGCTTCTTTCTTCCGGGACCATTAGCTTTATTTTACAGCTTTATGTCTAAGAGCCCACCACCACCTCTCTACCAGTAACTGTGGGCATTTATCTGGATAAATGTGAGCACTGGGTCTTTTCTCATGGATCCCTCCAGGGAATCACTAAGCCATTCTTAGCTGCTGATTCATCTTTGGTCCTTTAGAGCAAAGTTCTTTGTCCTTTTTCTCTTGTGAGGCTTCTGTTGTCTCTTGGCAGGTTAGCTAGGCCTGTCTTCCTCTCCGTTTTCTTTGTTAGGTTTACATCTCTGTATTCATTCATTTTCTCTCTGCCTCTCTACCACTCTCCTTCCCCGTCTACATGACACAGTCTATATAAAGATATATATAAAGATATAGACTGTGTCATGTGCATATACATTAGTTGTTCTGGGCAAGTAAAGATACCATGCTGGACTTAAGAAGTCATGAGATCCATGCCTTAGTGAAGCTGTCTTGCATATGATTGAAAATATTATACTGTGTAATGTATAATCATTATGCTTTAAATACTTGCATTTATATTTCCTAAAGGAAGAATATTGTTGAAATAGGAGCGGCGGCAGGGCTGCGTCCCCGGCACCCGGCCGCCCGCATGGCTAGAAATACCCAGAAATAATTACACGGAAACTGTATTCTTTCAAACACTGCCTGGCCCGGCTAGGTCCAGTTTCTTATTGGCTAGCTCTTACATATTGTTCTAACCCATTTCTAATATTCTGTGTAGCCCATGAGCTGGCTTACCAGGGAGGATCTTAACCTGCATCTGTCTGGAGCGGGAGAACCATGGCGACTCTTCCTCTAACCTTCTTTCTCCCAGAATTCTCTTCTGTATACTCCGCCTACCTAATTTTCTATCCAATAAAATGGGCCAAGGCAGTTTCTTTATTAGTAAGAAATCATTCCCACATCATTTCCCCTTTTTCCGTTTAAACAAAAAAGAAAGGCTTTAACTTTAGCATAGTAAAATTACATATAACAAAACAGTTATCAAGTAAGAATTACAGTTACAATATTTATATCTATTTTATCTCTTATCATAACTAAGGAAAACTATAACTATTTATTCTTCAACTCCATCAAAGACTCCAGAAGGATATAATATTATCTAAGTAAACAAGAAATAAGAAAACTCTAGAAATGACAGAGACATCTCGCTGCCTGGACAGTCACCCAAAGTTCCTCTGTACCGTTGGGGCATCCATCTTCGGCCTACAGGCCCATGGTATCCAGATACATTTCCATGAAGCAGGAAATTTTAAAGACAGTTCAGTCACTTTCTGCTGTGTTCTGTAGAATGTCTTGTAGACTCTTTCATGAATCAGGAACCCCGAAAGACCATCTCACCTTTAGGCAAGTTCAGCAGTCCTCTCTCTGAGGGTTCTCTGTGTCCAGTTTATGCAACAGTCCAGGCAAGAGCAGTTTCTTGCCCAAATGACTATCCAACTCCATAAGGATCCTCTTCGATGCCCATCTTCCTCTTGAAGTAGCTGGTGCTGCCAGGAGCAGACGTGTCTCCTTGTCATGAAAAGTCCTAAGTTATTAAAATATTTTAAATGCCATATTCTGCAGTCTTTGAAAGATATGAAGAATGCCTATCTAATTGAAATATATCTCTATATATCTAGAAAATCTAACTAACATGACTACAAGCTTAACTATTAGCAATGATTATCCATTAACAACCTATATTTCCTAATTATACATTACATTTTAAGTGAACTACATAATCACAATACCTTAATCAAGTTCAAAAATACATATACATATAACAAAATTGACCTTAAAATCCATACCAATGCAAATTATTCATATCTATATCATATCCCCCTTTAAATGTAAAAGAACATTTATAAACAATATTTGGGAACATGGGCGTAGTTTTTTCTCTCCAAACTGCTTCCTGCTGAATGGGGGCACTGTTAATCAGATCATTTAGGGTGTAACCTGTGTGTCAGGTTCATCTCGGTTGGCAGTTGAGTGAAGTAATTTTTTGAGGGTGTTCACAGCAACCTTTCAGGAGGGCGTGGTCTATCATACCATACCGGGATAGATGCAATCCATAGGGTCACATCCTCTGTGGAAACAAAAGAAGACCCTCTCCAAAGCATCATATCCTTAGATCCAAATTTTGAAGTCAAGATACCTTTAGAACATATGTGCAGGTTCAGCTTAGCAGCCCATATAATAAAATGTCTCTTTGTACTTAGCTCCTTCACAGTCAAAAATTTTAAAGAAAACACAATGTACATAATCCAGACTCTCTGTGAATTTTTCATTTTTACGTGGCTTATTTTTCTTTATTTCTCTTAATCTATAACTATCTGTACTTCTGTACTCTGTCTCTTTAAAGACTTTACCCTTTTTCTTTTTAAGACATTAACTTTATTCTTTATATTCTCTTTTTTTCCCCAAGCCTACGTACATTCATCCAACGGTGTCTGAATCTGTTTTACTGTGAATCTGTAATTTTTTTTTTTTTTTCCAGGAGCATTTCTTAAAATGTTAAGCATTTCTTAAAAACTTAAGTTGCACCATGTATAGGTAATACGGTACTGCCTGTGTCCTGCCCAGTCTAAACCTTAACTGCACGGTTTTAAGGTAATTACGGTAGTTCCTGCCTGAGATCAGCACAGTTCAGCAAGGAGCAGCCGCTCCTGCCTCAGAGTCATTTGGTGCTTTTGAGCTGAGCACAGTTACAGGCAAACAGCAGTTTACATTGGAGCCGCAATCAGCAATTTAATTTTGAGACTGAGTGTGCAGCACAGAAACTCTTTTTATCCAAGTTACAGCCAAATCTGACACGCAGAGCACTGCGCAGTCTGAAAACGCGTCTCTGTATGGCAGCAGGAATCCGCCATGCTCTTCCGCCTGCCTAAGCCTGATTCCGCCATCTGCCCAGGTGTAGGCAGGGAACGCTGAGCCATCGGCAGGTCTCAGAGCAATCTCCTCCGATCCCAAGTGGGAACAGAAACATCCAGTCCCATAAAAGCCTTGAAATGCTTTAAAGCCAGAGTTCACGCTGGCAGCATAGCACCAGGAAGCCGCGCTTTAAAATGACGCAGCTTTTTTTCTCTGCTGCTGTTGCTGAATCAGGAATCTCTCTACAGCATGTCACCAACAAAACAGCAAAAATCTGTGTTAAACTCTGTTTCCCTTATTTTTAAGGCTTCTCAGGTTTTTAAGTGGATTTAGCCCCACGTTGGGCGCCATCTGTTGAAATAGGAGCGGCAGGGCTGCGTCCCCGGCACCCGGCCGCCCGCATGGCTAGTTTATACCCAGAAATAATTACACGGAAACTGTATTCTTTCAAACACTGCCTGGCCCGGCTAGGTCCAGTTTCTTATTGGCTAGCTCTTACATATTGTTCTAACCCATTTCTAATATTCTGTGTAGCCCATGAGCTGGCTTACCAGGGAGGATCTTAACCTGCATCTGTCTGGAGCGGGAGAACCATGGCGACTCTTCCTCTAACCTTCTTTCTCCCAGAATTCTCTTCTGTATACTCCGCCTACCTAATTTTCTATCCAATAAAATGGGCCAAGGCAGTTTCTTTATTAATAAGAAACTATTCCCACATCAGAATATATAACTGGTAAAAAAATAATTTATGGTTGAAATTCTCAGAGAATTCCTCATTTTACTCAGAGTACTACAAAATGTTGGCTTTTCAGTTCACCTGGCAGTCGTCAAAACGGACATAATTATGGTTATTGCTTCTATATACAGTGTTACAGTGGAAGAAAAAGAACACATCTTCCCTACTTAAGGAATGATTTTACTTTAAAAAAATTTATGCATAATTTTATTTTAGGGCCCAGGATTACTTCTTAGTCATTGCTGGTCATTGTTTTCCTGACCAATAATTTTTTTTGCTCCCAACAGACAAGAGGCCAAAACAGGAAGATTGTGAGTTTGAGCCAGCTTAGACACCCTGTCTCAAAATATAAAGGATTTGTGATTATACCCAGAAAACAGTTATTAGCAAGGCAATTTACCGAGAAACTGGATTTCTTTTGCGCACCTGGAGTTTAAAAGCTGTTCCTTGAGGGTTATAGGCTTTAACACTAATCTTTGTTAATGTTCTGGAATGTTCCTCAGGAAATGAATGTTCCATAGAACAGATGGAACATGTCCGGGGAATGCAGGAGAAATTAGCTCGCTTGAATTTGGAGCTCTACGGGGAGTTAGAGGAACTTCCTGAGGATAAGCGGAAAGCCGCCAGTGACGCCAACTTGGACAGGCTTCTGTCGGACGTGAGTGGAACGCTCTCTGTTTAAAAACATCTTCTTACAACAGTACACACATAACACAACTCACATTTTAGCTATCAGAATTTTAACTGTATATGCTCATATATTCTATATGTGTGAGATCATATATAGAAAGTGTTTTGCAGTCATTACCACCATCTAATTCTAGAACATTTTCTTTACCCCCTAAAGAGGCCTGTCCTTTAGTTTGTCCTCCCAATGCCCTAGCAACCACTCACGTATTTTCTATCTTGATGAACTGGCCTCTGTGGCACCTCATACAGATGGCATTATGCAGTGTGTGCCCTCATGGGGTGGGGGTTCTCTTAGTGTGGTGTCCTCAGAATTCATCTCTTGTTATACTTGACTCTCTTTAAAGAAATACAATCTAAGAAATGCTTGAACTTAGATTTATGGAAGCATGTATTATCATAATCCTGGCAAACTTGTAAAGGAAATGCTTGCTTCTGTACATTTTTACATACATATTATTATATTACATTATATAAGGCCTATATTATACAGAGACCTTGTTCATATGCGAATCATAAGTCCATCAAAGATACCAGTCAGAAGCCCTTTGCCTGATCGGATGGTTACTTATTTGTAAATACAGAGCCATCCTAGTCCCTCCAGCAATTCAGCACATTGCCACATCTGTCAGCCCTACCATAACTAGAACTTTATTTTCTCCCAGTTTTGGGAGCTGGAAATTGGAGATCACAGTGTCGCCTAAGGCTTCAGTTCTCCTCTGTGGGTCTTCTCCTGTGCACATGGGTCTAGATCTCCTTTCTTTGTTAAAGTCATATTGGATTAGAGCCCCCTCCATTGACTTCATTTTGACTGATTACTGTTTTAAAGGTTCTGTCCCCACATGCCCACATATTCTGACATGTTGTGACCCACATGAATTGGGGATGGAGTGGGGCACAACTCAGCCCATAACATCTTGTAAATTTGCCTCTTTAAAACCTTTTTTAGGGAGCTGAAAAGCTGACTCAGCGACTAAAAGTACTCGCTGCTCTTGCAGAGGACCGAGATTCTGTTCCCAGCACCCACATGGCGGCCCTCAACCGTCTCTAGCTCCAGTTCCGGGGATCTGAAGTCCTCTTCTGGCCTCTGAGGGCACCAGGCACACAAGTGGTGCACATGCTAACATGTGGGCAAAACACTCATACCCGTTAAATAAAAATAAATAAATCTTTAAAACCTTCTTTAGGCAGCTAGGAAGATGGCCCAGTCAGCAAAGATCTTGCTACACCAGCGTGAGGGCCTGAGTTCTTGCCGAATTTGTGAGCTCCAGGCTTGGTGAGAGATACTCTCTGATAAAAGTAAGGTGGGGGACAGTTGAGGAAGACACGAAACATTGACCTTTGGCTTCCGTATGTGCAGACTGCACACACAGGAACTTAGGAATCCACAAAACCTTTTTAGAAGAAAGGGAAATAAATAAAAACTGACTTCAACGTAGCTTATCTTCATTTTCAGCAGTGGCAAGAGTTTGTTTCTGCTGCTTTTCTTTTCTTTTTTTGAATAAGTTTGAGGCAGTTGTCCAAACAGGGTTTCTGTGTAGCTCTGGCTGTCTTGGAACTCATTTTGTAGACCAGGTGGCCTCAAACTCAGAGATCCATTTCCTCTGCCTCCCAAGTGCTGGGATTAAAGGCATACTTTTGAAAGGTTTAAACCTAGAAGATTAACAGTGCCTGTTTGCAATCCCAGCACTTGGGAAGTGGATGCAGAAGGAACAGGAGTTCAAGTTCAAAGTCAGCCTCTCAAAAACAAACAAAAATCCCTTCCAGCCTATATTTTAAAGGCCAGATCTGCCCTATAATATTTAGTGTCACAAGTATCTCAGTTCATATATGCTTTATTTCTATTAAATATAAGCTTGGTTTGTGTACTTTTAGTGCACTTAGGAAAATACTGCATTTTGGCAAAAGGAATACTAACTTTGAAACCAGGAGGCCTAGTGCAGGGCTTCACCGTGTTGCTCTTGGTGACGGTGAAGTCTCGTTAGCCTACCTGCCTACCTTCCTTTATTTTTAAACTGTTTTGAGGTGCTGGAGATGAAGCCTAGGGTGCCATGGATGCAAGTCAAGCATGCCACCACTAAGCTACAGCCTCAAACCGCATTTCTATACTTTATATTTCTCCTTCTAAAATTAAAGATACTGTAGTCTGGATGCCTGTATCTTTCTAGAACTCATACTTTTAAGTCCTCACCCTGGGGCAACAAAAGACAGGCCTTTGTAAGGCCATTAGGTCGGGAGTGAGATTAGTATCCGAGGAAAAGAGGCAGAAAAGGGATGCTCCACTGCTTCCGTTTTGTGAGGACATTGTACAAGGCCACACTAGGGCTTCATTGGCTTCTTAATTGCACGTGGCTGGTCTCTAGAGCCATCAGAAGTGAGTTTCTTTTTTTTCTACAAAATGCCAATTTAATGATTTTTTAATAGACGTCCAAACAGACTAAGGGGTGATAAATTCTACTTTATAGTAAGAATTGAAATATTTGTAAGTATTTTTATAAATAATAAAGGTTTCAAAGATTATGATTACAGAAATGGCAATTAAAAAAAAAACTTCTTTAAAAGCTAGGCAAGGGGTCAGCAAGATGTCTGAGGAGGGAAAAGTGCTTGCAGTGTGAGCCTGGTGAAATCGGTACCTGCGTTCACTTCCTAGAACTCATGTAAGAGCCGAGGGTGAGAAGCAGCTCCATTCACATGTGTGCTGCCTTCACACGCAAACAACATAGCACACACAATAATGATACGATTTCTCTTAAGAGAACAAGTGGTTATACATCTGTGATCTTAGCATTCTGCAGTTCAAGACCAGCCTGACCATATATGGAGACTTACATTTTTTTCCTTCTGTTTTTTGTTTGTTTGTTTTTGATTTTTCAAAACAGTTTTCTCTGTGTAGCCCTGGCTGTCCTGGAACTTGCTCTATAGACTAGGGCTGGCCTCAAATTCAGAGATCCACCTGCCTATGCTGAGATTAAAGATGTATGCTACCACTGCCTAGTGAGACTCTCTTTCAAAAAGAAATACAAACACAGTAACAATTACTGCCATTATACATGATTCTAGGAATGCTTCCAAAGCTCTAGTCTTTAGCATTTGCTTCTGTTCTTGCTTCAGGGTCTTTAATCTAAGCTGCAGCTACTTGATAGTTATTTTGTGCAAAGGAATTCCTAGCCTACAAAGCTTTTTGAGAACTTTTTAAATAGTTTCTTTTTTCAGTTAACACCAACATGAAGATATTTTAAAACATGGTTTATAGTGACTTATTAATATTTATCTTGTAAAAATTAATATTCAATTTGTTTCTTTGTGTTGCAGTTAGAAGAATTGAATTCTTCTATGTATCCTTTGCCTACTACGAACAGTGTAAAGTTCATAATCTATAGTTCTGGGTAAATAATTTCTGTCATATCTTAACTTTATTTACTAGGGCTATGTCTCTTCTCTTTTAGTTTCCAAATCAGATTGTTTCATGGTTTTGCATGCTGAAATTCCATGTCTGGTTGGTTTTTTGTTTTATATTGTTTACTTACTTTTTCAAAACAAATTTAATTATTACTTTTCAAGTCATGAAAATTGCATATTGGACTATAAGAATTATTTTGACTCTTAGATTCTGAAACTAACCTGGCAGATATCCAAAGATATATTTAATATGATTACTTAAGGTGCATAAAATTGAAATTTAGGTGCCACTAAAGCACAGTATTCAAGGACTTCTTCCACAGCTTGTGAATTGGCATCTCTGTGCCAAAGCTAGTGCAGTCTAGAATTAACGTGAAGGAGAACACCAAGTCACAGGTAGGTTATTTTGATTTTGATATTCCAGTCTGAAACAATGACTTAAGGAAGTTTTCTATTTTTTCATGTATTTGTCAACATGATTGCTAATACACAAGAATAACAGGAAACAATCCTGCCTTCAACCTGCTTTTATGTGAGGACACTCTCTCTTTGAACACAGTAATGACATGAGATAGGACTTCTGAAATGTTCACACTCAGTAATGTGACAGTCCACATGTTCTTTAACATCTGCAGGGGCCTGTTCAGTGCCAGCGCAGTTACGTATTGTGTAGTGGTATGTATGAGGAAATTTGTAAACTACATAGCGCATGCCAGAGTGGAGCAGCAAGTCCAAATGCTGCTGTAAACTACATAGCAACATGCGAGGGTAGAGCAGCAAGTGCGAATGCTGCTGTATTTTACGCTGTTACTGACTGCTCAGCCCTGTGGCAACAGCAGTTAAGTCTGTGTTTTGCTTTGAGCTTGGACATGATTATGAGTTCCACTCGCCTTTCCTGCCGAGTGCCAGCTCTTACCACGTCTGCTCCTAGCCTTCCTTCTTCATTCTCCACACTACACTGCAGGCGCTTAGAAGCCAATTCTTCAGTGTTCTGATTTTATGTTCTGACTTGAGCTTCAAATTAAACATGGAAGCCACTAACTCCATGGCTACTGAGCATATGACATGTTTAGCAGGTCAGGATTGAAATATACTTTGACTGTAATAAGGACAGTAAATTTCATCCGTAAAAAAGTCAAACATGAAACATTTCAATGAGGTATTTTATTTTGGTTGAGACAAGATCTCCCTTAGATACCCTAGGCTGGCCTCCATGTAAGCTTCCTCTGCCTGTGTCTTTCAGGTGCTGGAGTTACAGGAGCTCATGTCTACCAGGCCTGATTGGAACTTTTAAAAAATTATTTCTGGATAGAGCCAGCAGGTGCTTGTTACACAGCCTGTGACCTGAGTTTTGTCACCCTGACTCTGGAAGATTAAGGGAGAGAACGGGCTCCATAAAGCTGTCCACATGCCCAGTGGCATGGACACCTACCCACAGTAAATTAAAACGTTTTAAATTTAAATATATCTGAGTAGATAACATTTAAATTAGTGTCACCTATTTTTCCTTTTAACTCAGTGATAGGAACTTTTAAAACTCTGTACTTCAGACATTGATATTAATTTCCTTAAAACATCACTTTTTTTTCTCTTTGATTCTTGTTTTGCTTTTCAACCAGGATCACATTCTACACTTCAGGCTGGCCGAGCACCCACTGTGGTGCCTTGAACTTGCAGGAGTCCTTCTGCCTCACTGCCCGTAGCTCTGGTTTTATACAGACTCTTGCCAATGCTTTTTTATTTTTATTTTTTTACCATCATGTTTTTTATATACTTTTTCCAGGTGCTTACAACATATATATCATGTTAGAGTTCTTGTTCCCACTGTGTTCTCTGGCTTGAGCACATCCTCTTCACTCTTGCCATGATATCCTTTGCTCAGCTTGCACTCTGATCCAGACACACTCTGGCCTTCTCTCCCCTCCTCTCTGCCAGACAGGGGATACTCATGCTGACCACTCCCATCAAGTATTTGGTTTGCACCTGTAAGCTAGCATTCTGCCTTACTTTACTGTCTGATGATTGTTCCATATGTTAAGTCTCAACCCTCCCCACACACTAGACAAGAGTACTTGGGACGGCCATGCCTTCGTCTGTGTGCCTTTGCACTCTGCCAGTGAGCCCTGCTGACCACAGCTGTCCTCAGTGTGCTCAGATCGCTGTTGGCGTTGGACCTGGAGAGGTGGGCGACAGCAGACAGCCATGAAAGGGAACAAGGACTCATGCAGAAATCCTTTTCTATTCACAGTTTTATCGAAGGATGAGTAAGATTACATAAAGATTCCAGAGTTGTGATGAATTATTTCATGTTTGGCTTTATAAGGAGCTTGTTTCCCCAGACGTGGGGAAATGGCGTCTTTGAGGGATTGTCTTGATCCCGTTCTTCTCATGTTCCGCTTTCACTGGTTTCTTGTCATGAAAATGACTCTTGCTGCATTAAAATTACAGTACAGACACGATGCTACTGTGCTCCTGCAACTGCAGCACTGGAGGTTGAGGCAGGAGGATTTGGACTTTGAGGCTGCGTAACTCCTAAATAAATGTTTTCAAGCTTCAAATTATACACATAGCATTATTCTCTACATTGATTGAACTATGGTCCAAACATGTTGGCAACACGCCAGCTTTCCCTTTAAGCCTCCATTACCCTTCCTCTTTCCCTCCCTCCTCCCCCCTCCCCATGCTTCTGTTTCCCAGTTACTGAGTGTGAATTCCTGAAATGTAGAAGAAATACTCACTCTCAAATGAAAATCTTCTTAACTTATGGATTTAGACAGAAGCTGCATTTGGCAGACGCACAGGATGTCCCCAATCCGTCCACCGGCTAAGGCGGTGTGCAGCCTGCTCGGGGGGTTTGCAGAGAAGCAGCCGTTGCTGCTTTCGCCGAGTCCAGTAGCAGAATCATCCGCACAACACAATTCAAGTGATGGAGTGCAAGTGCCGCGATTGTGCTCTCCCGGCTTCTAGTCCATGTGCTCGCTGTCATTCACCGCTGGGGGGCGTGGCCCGGCTGCAGGGCCCTTGAGGAGTGGGATGCTGGGCTGGGCTGCTGTGCTTTCTTCTGTTGCCTTAAGGGTTATACTTGAAATGCATTGTGCTAAACATTCGGTCGGGCTGAAGGAATTGTCCTTCCTGTGGCCACCACACTGACCCAGCTCTGGTCACACGGTGGTGGTGCACAGGCCTCCTGCGGCAGCCCAGCTTCAGTTTACGTCAGACAATCAGTACACATGCAGGTATGTTCCTTAATGGCCAGTGACAAATGTTTAATAAGTATTTGTGAGATTCGCTATTTTTAATAAAGTGATTGTTTTAAGTGATTGTCTCTCTTGTCTGTTTGGAAGACCCGGTGGTCTTCCTTCAGTCTGGAAACAAGGGTTCAGTCCTCCAAAGGAAACTGTGTATATAATATGAGGATTTTGTGCCATCTCTGCAAATCCTGTGCCTTTGTGTTTAAATACTGTTTAATGAAAGTGCGTGATTGTAAAGCTAGAGCCTGATTTGGATGCCCATTCTTCCCCTTAGCTTTCTAGCATGTATATACTTGGGCTGAGTTCCCCTTAGCTTTCTAGCGTGTATGTACCTTGGCTGAGTTCTCCTTGGCTTTCTAGCCTGTGTGTACTATGGCTGAGTTCAACTTTGATTTTCAATGTAGCCTGTGAGGATTACCAGCTGCTGGTAGTTGTGTGAGGATGATAGAGATGCACGAAAGACGCCTAGCATGAGGCTGATGCCAGGAAAGCTCTGGAGACATCCTCACTACCTTCCCTCACTTCGTTGTTTCAGTGATGAGGGTCACGCCCCAGACTTGCGGGCGCTAGACAAACAGTGTCATTGAACTACACCAGCCACCCTTTTTTCTAAAATTCTTGACAGTTTCATGAATATCCATTGATTATGCCACCCCCAACACCCTCCTTCCATCCTCCTGAACCCCGTAGTACTTCCCTCTCCCACAGTCATGTCCTTGTTAAATTTTATTTTTATGACTCACGGGGTCTAGTTAGTGAACCATACGGGCGTGGCCCTGGGGCCATCCATGGGCAGCCTACAAGCAGATGCGCCCCTAATGAAAAACGACTCCCACTCCCCCAACAGCCATCAGCTGTGAATAAGCTCTTCAGCTAGGGGTGACTGGTGCCTCGTGAGTTCCTCTCTCTTCCGTGGGGAATATTGACCGGCTTGAGCTCGTCAGTGCAATCACCATGTCAAGTCTGGAAGATGGCCTTTCACAGCATCCCTCCCATCCTCTGTCTCTTATATTCTTTCTGCTGCTTTTTTCCATGATGTTCCCTGAGCCTTGAGGGACCTGATAGAAATGGCTTGTTTAGGGCTGAGTACTCAAAGTCACTTACTCTGAACACCTTAATCGGTTATGAGGTTGCTGCCCACTGCAGAGCAGAGCTTCTCTGACGAGGGTTAAGCGCAGCACTAATTCTAAGGATAGAAACATTTACAAATATTTAGAAAGCAATTTGACAACAACGGTCAGTACTCCCGCAGGACCCATGACTTCTCCAGCCATGGGCTTTTGACCAGGTTTACAGGACAACACATGAATTTCCTTCTTTGTAGCAGGGCTCAAATTCAATCCAAAAGCTGCTGGTTACTCCCTAAGAGTCATGCCATTATTACACCAGTAGGCAGATCTTGCTTAGCAGGGTAGTAGTGTATAGTGTGTAGTCTGTTGATAGCTTTTCTCTCCCACAGACTATATAACACTGCCTAGCACTGTAACAGCTAGCTTACAGGGATGAAGTTTGCACATCCATTTCAATCTGAATTATGTATTTGTCAGTTGGGCCTTAACTGTTAGCTATGGTCGACAACAAAGAACAATGATGATAACGTGTTATTTGAGGTACCTCTGGGTTCTTTCTGTCCTGTAACTCATAGGGAAGTATCTCATACCTGACAGTGAGATTTTTATTTAAAAAACCCCATCTTCTAGGGGAACATTGTCTGTTAAAGATACCTCTGTTCAAACTCCTTTTAAAATTATTTTAAGTTAGTTTGCAAAGCAGTTGGCCTTTTCATACATCCTTAATTGTGTTTGACTCGCCCCCACACCCCAACCCTCACTCCTGCTGAAACACTCGAACCTACCCAGTCCCTTGTCACACCTGTTTTGTGCATTCGCCCGGTCTAAGGCCTCCCGGGCTCTGTGCACTATTCTAGCTTCCTGACCTCAACTAAAACTCACAGATCTAAAAGATGTGCATCTAGGATCTACACAGGAGAGAGAGAGAGAGAGAGAGAGAGAGAGAGAGAGAGAGAGAGAGAGAGAGAGAGAGAGGCATCTGTCTCTCCAGGCCTGGGTTACCTCTATCATATTCTTCAGTCCCGTCCACTTTCCAGAAAAATGTCAGGATTTCCTTTTCCTAACATCTACACAAACTGCCATTGTCTAGACTGGTTTCATTTCCTCACGGCTGTCAGTTAAGCAGCAGGTGTCCCTGTGGTAGGCTGTAGAGTCCTCTGAGTGTATGCCCAGAAGTGGTACAGTTGGGTCATATGGTAGTTCTAATTTTAGCTTGTGGAGACACCTCCACACAGATTTCCCTAGTGGCTGCGCCAGTTTACACTCCCGCCACAGTGGGTTAGTATTTCCCTTTCCCCTTGTTCTCCTCAGCATTGACAGTCCAATGACAGCCATTCTGACTAAAATAAGATATAATCTCAATTTTAATTTACATTTCCTTGATATGTAAAGACCACCCTTTCAACACAGATGTTAGAACCGTTGCATTTTTTTTAAATCGAATTACAGATGATCTCCAAAAACCTAGTATAGAGCAAACTGTTTTTTAACTTAATTGTGTGTTTCCTTCCAGGCTTCATACTTGGGTTTTGTTCAGCCCCCCCATTCATGGGATTGTTAGCTTTCCCATACTCAATTATTGTGCAATTAGCCACGTTAAGTACAAAAAAGCAGTGGCGGAGAGGGAGATGTCACAATAGACAAAGGCATTTTGATCGACGCAGAAACATGTTGGTGTTCGTATGTCTAACTCCTGCATAACTAATTCTGGCAAGAAAAAAAAACTCTAAAGTTTCCTAAGGATTTGCTAAAGATGAACACGAGAAAGGCTAAGAAACACCACCCCTTACCACACAGGTCTTCTTCATTGCTGGCTGTGTAAAGCTAAGCAAACTCCGCTTCGACGCCTAAGCCTCTCTTGACAGACAGCAGCTTTGTGTGTCTGTCACCTTCCAGCGACTTTCAAGACCCTGGAGGTCAGACAGCCACCGCCTCCCACTGCCAGCTAAAGAAACCACCCAGAACTTGAGTCCAGAAAACCTAAGGAAGGAGACTTAAGAGCCCTCCTGCAGCAAAGACCCAGACTGGCCACTGGAGCGCGGCACTGAGCAGGATCTACTTAGTGCCGGACGTGTGGGGCGTGGTGGCGGCCTGTGTTGTCATCCCTATGGAGATGGGGCTGTCCCTGCCCCGTCTGTGCTCTGGAGAACTGCCTCTCCTTTTCACTATACTGTGCCAAGAGGAGTCTGCGGCAGCCCTGCTCAGCCCCTTGGCCACTTCCCGGAGGTAAAGCCCCTGCCTTCTTGGCGATGTCTTTTCCTTGGGACCCCATGGCCTTGGAGGGTCCTGCAGGGTCAGGTTTGAGTTGGGCAGTGGCAACTAAAGCCTTCCCTCCTCCTCCAGAACTCTCCTGGGGTAGAAAGAAGTGCTCCCGCACTTTGGAAAACAGTGATTTTTCACAAGACTCTAAATTAGCTCAGGCTAGCTCTCCTCTCTGGCTCTCTCATCTTGCTCTGTTTGCTACTTTGGAGTCCAGAGATGTGGGAAAGGGCTGTAGGGCTAATAAAGAAGAGGCTAAGACTCTACAGAGACTGGTTCGTGGTTCTAATATTTCATATGCTATGATCTCATGAATAAGGTGAATGACTATGCCATTGCTAAGTGTTTATCTTTTGAGAAGTACTGGTGGTGTACATATGAATAAACATTGCTCTGAATATCAGAACAGTTTCCTGGCAGCATCTGTATCCAAGTTCATGCAATTCAAGCGGTGGTGTGCACATCCCCATGTGGCGGTCTGTCCTCAGAAACTTGACTTGTGTGTTACTTGGGAGCCTTGGAAATCGTGTTCTAAAAACACTGATTTCAGGGGGAGGGAAATAGGAGTGGAGAAAGTTTTAAACAAAAATAGGGCAACAGAGTGAATTTAAATAGTGCAGTGATTTCTTGTGTTGATTTTGTAGCTTTAAATTAGTAAGCATATATACCAACACAAGTAGCATTTTTCCTTAATTTTATGTGTGTGTGTGCATGTGTGTGTGTGTCTAAAGTAGCTCAGGCTGGCCTCCAACTCACTGTGTAGCCAAGAATGACTTTTCACTCCTGACCTCCCAGAACTGGGGTACACATATGTGATACCACACCAGTTTCTATGGTGGTAGATGGAACCCAGGGTTTCCTGCACACTGAGAAAGCATTCAACCTACTGACCTACATCCGTAGCCTCAGGTGTTATTGTGTTTTCTATAAGCTATGGTGCTTCAGTGCAGAATTCTTCAAGCCATCCCATTGCTCCATTACTTTTTTCTTTTCTTTTTTAAAAAATATTTATTTATTTATTATTTATACAGTTTAGCCAGAAAAAGGGTACCAGACCTCATTGCAGATGGTTGTGGACCACCATGTGGTTGCTGGGAATTGAACTCAGGACCTTTGGAAAAGCGGGCAATGCTCTTAACCGCTGAGCCATCCCTCCAGCCCCCTACTTACTATTTTCTTGCATAGTTAATAGAGATATGTATATACCGGCTTGTGTTCGTATTAAATCATGCTCCAAATGCAGGTAAATGCACTGGACCGGGATTGTCTTTCTCTCCTGGTTTTTACCGGTTCCGTCCACATTTCTGTGTGTTGCGTTTCTTCACTGTTATTGGAGAGAACCTTTGTGAGAGGAGTTTTGGATGAGTTACAGTTCAGACTCTAAATGAAGCTCCTCCCAGTTATCTGTATGTGTAAGCTGTAAAGTGCCAAATGCAATCACCTCGCTACCAAGGAATAACATTTTAGAAAATTATTGTATGGGCTGGGCATGGTGCCACACCCTTTAATCTCTGCACTTGGGAGGCAGAGGCAGGTGGATCTCTTTGAGTTGGAGGCTAACCAGGTCTCCATAGTGAATTCCAGGATAGCCAGGGTTACGTAAGGACACTCAAAGCAACAAAAATGTGTCTCTGTGTGTGTCTGTGTTTGTGCGTGTCTGTCTATGTGTGTGTCTGTGTGTGTGCATGTCTGTCTATGTGTGTGTCTGTGTGTGTGTGCGTGTGTATGTGTGTGTCTGTGTGTGTGCGTGTGTGTGCATGTGTCTGTGTGTGTGTCTGTGTGTGCATGTGTCTGTGTGTGTCTCTGTGTGTGTGTCTGCATGTGTCTGTGTGGTGCGTGTCTGTCTGTGTGTCTCTGTGTATGTACTAGAGCACCACAGAGCCCAGAAGAGGGCTGGAGTTAGAAGTGACCGTGAGGGTACCTATGTGGGTGCTGGCAACTGAACTCCCCAAGAGCTGCAAACACTTAGAACAGCAGAGCCATCTTCCCACCCCCGACGAACACATTTTGTTTTTGATATTCTAAGATGTTCCCTCTGCGGGAGTGGAGCAGGACTGGCCTGTTCTGCCCTTCTCCAGCTATGGAACACAAATCACTCGGGGAAGCAGTGAGCTGATGGCACAGCTTTCTGGTTTATTCCAGCAGTGAGGCAGCTCTCTTTGTGGACTGCCTGTTGCCCGGCCATTTCATCTCCTAATCCGGGATTGATTGTTCTAAGAAAATACAAGGAAACAAGACAATCTCAGCAGCTTTTCCTCTCTGCGCACACACTTGCTGAATATGACCTTCACTCTGGCCACCAAAGTGGGAGCTGTCTCTCTCCCAGTCCTCCACGGCTCCCAGCAGGAGTAGGTGTCTCTTGCTATCAGGTCCACTGAGGGAAGCGCAGCTGAAGGCCAGGACTCATTAATCCTAGAAGTCCCAACAGAAAAGCCCCACCTCCTTTAAACACCACCAGCGGCACCACTCTGGGTGCCAGGCCTCTAACACGTGGACCTTTGGGAGGGACCTTCAAGATCCAAACTCCAGCAGATGCCAATCACAGCTCGCAGGTTAGGGCTACAGGCATCAGAGATGGGGCTCAGAAATGGCTCAGCACCACTTGCATGAGCTCGGAAGGGACGTTTTCCTCAGTCCAGCTTTGGATGACTAATCTCTAGTTGACAGCTGTTCTGAGAGGCCCTGAGTTGGAGGCCTACCCGAGCTGCGCCTGGGCTCCTAACTCACAGACACCAGGAGATAACCGGTGTTTGTTACAGTCCGCCACTGACTGGGAAATAATTTGCTAGAATTAGATAAACACTGTGATAATTGCATCAGAAAACACACACACTGCTGAGTGTGATGTCATAGAGAATGAGAGAAAATGCTGTGTATTACTACTTCCTCTAACAGTCACTGTAATGCCAGCGTGTCAAAACTTCTAAAGCATTGTGCATGACATTAATTCTGGTCATTTATTTCCTAATTATATTTAATTACAGAGTCTGTTTCTGAGGAAACAGCCCCTAATACCTTGTAGAATTACTCGTTGGATGATTATAAAAGGCTGGGACAAGAAAAGAAATCATTTGAGAGGCAGAAGTAAGAGAACTGCTTACGAGTCTGAGGCTAGCCTGGGCTGCAGAGTGAGCCCCGCTTCTCCAAACAGGGCCAGAAATCAAGCATTAAAGGGGGAGGGGCGGCCATTCGCACCCTGGGTGAATAGCTAGTTAGGAAAACCGACCTTGGCTTTTACTTCTGAGGCTAGGTCTCTGGTAACCCAGGTTGACCTTGAACTCACTTCGGTGGAGAATGACCTTGAACTACTTCTACCCCTCCAGAGGTACAGGGATTACAGGCGCGTAAGACAGTACTCCATTCTATTGTCCTGAGGTTCAAACCCAGGATATTTCCTGGGTAGCAGGCTAGCCCTCTACCATCTGAGCTATGTTCCTGGTCCCAAACTGGCATTCCAGATAATGAAAATAATTTTGTGTTAACTTGCACACCACAGACAGACAGACAGACAGACAGACAGACACACACACACACACACACCTTGATCATGTATTTAAGCCCACCAGCAGAGACAACAACTATTCTGTTGTGTTCAATTCATTATGTAAGTCAGGAATCCCTCCACACAGAGGATAGCAACGATTCTGAGAAACTTGCTACGTACAAATCTCTTAGTTGGCTCCTGGGGCGATTTTCCATAATAACAGTCAACTATCTTAAAACACCTTAGTGTCATAGGCTTCGTTTTGATGTGCTGATCCAGACAGAGATGTTTAATTTCCCACATTGCCCTGAGGTTTTCAATCATTGTGTTGCTTGTCATGATGCAGTACTCACTGCCTTGCATGGCTGCGTGTACTCACACGTGGTGCTCGCTGTATCATGCTTCGCTCCTGTAGCATTCCCCCAGTTGTTGCCTTTGAAATACGATCACTTTAAATCGTGCCTTTCTCTTGGGTTGTATGGCAGGAGGCAGGACATATGCAAATGCTCGTCTTCCGGGATTCTTGTGCCCCAGTCTTTAGTTGCTTGCTCACTTGGAATTTACAGCACCCAAGGGCGGCTAGAAACCTCCACAGTGCTTGTGTGTCAGCTGGAACATCACCAACACGGGGCAACCCAGCTTGAGCTTCACTGTCTAGAAGTGGGCATAGGGAGGCAACTGAGCTGCTGGATGACTTGTTCTGCATTTACTTAGTGTATTTTGTGTGTGAGTGTGTGTATGTGTGTGTGTGTGTGTATGAGTGTGTGTGTGAGAGAGAGAGAGAGAGAGAGAGAGAGAGAGAGAGAGAGAGGAGAGAGAGAACACGTGTGTGTCCTAGCACTCAGGTGACCAGGTGTTCTCTGGAATGAGTCCTCTCAGGTCTAAAGTGATTTTAAAAAAATTTTCTGACACCACCAAGTCTGTCTGTCTGTCTGTCTGTCTTTCTTTCTTTCTTTTTTTTTTTTTTTGTTGGAGCCTTGCTGTGTTACTTTTGGCTGGCTTCTCGGAGACTCAGAGATCCTCCTGCCTCAGTCTCTTAAGTGCTGGGAATGATGCACCATCACCTCTGTATTCGTCTGTGGCTGTTAATGTCTCATGGAGTGAGTTGGAGTTATAGATCAGCGTGAGAGAATCAACCACTCTGCTAAGTCCTGTGACCACAAAGGGGTATACCTCTCCATTCACTTCGGACTTGAGATCACTTAGAACGTTGGAATTGTTTTCTTCCCTTTGTTTTGTTTTGAGACAGGGTTTCTCTGGAACTCACTCTGTAGACCAGGCTGTCCTCGAGCTCACGACTCGCCTGCTTCTCCCTCCCAAATGCTGGGGTTAAAGGTGTGTGTCACCTCTTCCCGATGAGAATAGTTTTCAATAAAGTGTTATGGTTTTCTTCATAATATTTTTTACTCACTTTTTTCAATGCACTTGTTTTTGATGTTGTAACTATATTACTTTACAAACTTCTTGTTCAAAATACAGAATTACGAAAAAAAACAAATGACCATAGGGCTGGAAGTGCTATGAAGTGAGCTCACCTGGGCTGCTATTTCTAGATCATTCTCAGCCCCTGCAGTCTCCTCTAGTGCCCCCTCCTAAATATTACTCTTTCCTTCTCCAAAGGAAACTGTCTTGGTTCTTCAACCATTGTGATTAACTGTATTGTTCTGTTCCTAGCCTCTTCTGTCACTAGGGTGTGTGTGTGTGAGAGAGCCTCCTGTGGCCGTGTGTAACAGTTCCTTCATCCCATGAGACACAGCTGTTGTAGTGGGAGTGGCGGGGCTGCGTTCCTGGCACCCAGCCACCCGCAAGGCTAGCTTTACCCAAAATAATTACACGGAAACTGTATTCTTTTAAACACTGCCTGGCCCATTGGTTCTAGCCTCTTATTGGCTAGCTCTTACATATTGATCTAACCCATTTCTAATATTCTGTGTAGCACCATGAGCTGGCTTACCAGAAAAGATCTTAACCTGCGTCTGTCTGTCTGGAGTGGGAGAATCATGGCGACCCTTGAATCTGCTTCTTTCTCCCAGCATTCTGTTCTGTTTACTCCGCCTATCTAAATTCTACCCTATCAGAGGGCCAAGCAGTTTCTTTATTACTTAACCAATGAAACAACAGATAGAAAGATGACCCTCCTTCATCACACAGCCTTCTGTTACGTGGATATATAACATTTATCCATCCAGCTGTTGATAGACGCTTGCTTGAATGATCCTCATGCTAAGCAATCTGGTGCTTTTGATGTTTTAATTCATATGTGTACTTTTTCTGTTAGGGCGATTATATATATATGCTCACCTTCAGTAAGTAATGCCAAACAGCTGTCTAAAGTACATCGGCACCAGCTGTGTCTGAGTTCCCAATGCCCACTGTAGCTGGCACGCTAAAGTCTGTTCTGAGTAACAAACCATCCAAAATGTCAAGTGCATGTAACAATAATTATTTTCCACAGCGTTGTAAGTGTGCTGGCTTCCTCTGTGTGGTTCTTCTGTTTGTAGGCCTCTCTGGTCTCTGTGGGTAAGTGCACACACATGGTATAAACTCGTATAGATATACGCACATACACAGAAATACAAAGAAATTGGAAAAAAGAAATCCTTTCGCTTGTTGAATGGGAGGATTTACCCAATATCGCCCTAAAATCTTACCAGAATCTCACGACCACACTGTTTGTTCGATCTTTGTCCAAAGGCTGATTGTTATTGAGACTCTGGCCTGCTGGAAAGCGTACTGGATAGTCTACCCCCAGACTAAGATCTTTCATGTTAGCCCTGGCTGTCTCGCTAGACTTTGCATATATAAATGAAGAAGTTAATCAACCACCAGTTTCTCAATTCTGCTCGGAACCCCTCCAGTCCTGTGTCTATGTTCTCTTTGGCACTTTAGGTTAATCACAGTAACACAGGCAACAGTGTCACTTGGCTTCCTGTAGCTCACTAACCCAGATCACCTTCTGAGCCTGTCTTAATGATACATCCCCTCTTCATCTTTCATCACCCTGGGCCCGGTGTCGGTACTCTGTGTTAAGTTACATATGGCATAAATAAACTTCCACATATATTGGTTTTTGTTAATTCTGAATAGCAAACCACCTTAAAGAAAACAGTGGCTCGAGACAACAGTAATGTCTTGTCCTGATTCAGGTGATCAGCCGGGTGACCGGGGCGGTTGTCCCACTCTGTGTTGTGGCTGGAGCTGTCCTTTCCCTGCAATCTAAGTGCCACCTTTGTCAGAAGTCAAGTACCCATATACACGTGGCTCAGTTTCTGGGCTTCTATTGTTTTGGCGATTCTTGAGCCAAAATCTCACCAGTTGTTTACCTTAACTTTAGGATAAACAAGTCCTGACATATGGACTGCAGCCAAGTCCTGACTCCTCCTCTGCCAAGCTGGCCTTTGCTGGTCTAGATACATTTTCCTTTTTAAGACAGAGTTTCTCTGTAGCCTTGGCTGTCCTAGAACTCATGCTTTAAGCCAGGCTGACCTTGACTCACAGAGACCTGCCTGCCTCTCCCCTCCCAGTGCTGATATTAAAGGCTTGCACCACCACCACCCAGCTTTAGCTACATTTTCTAATCAGTTGTTCAACGCTTTTTGGATTTTGGTTGAGATTACACTGGGTAATAGTGTATTATATTTGGGAGAATATCTTTAACATACATGTTCTTATTTATAATCTATTAATATTTTTGATACACTTTTTAGTTAGTGTTCTATATGGAATGCTTAGCCCTCATATTTGACTTGGATTTTAAAGTTTTTTTTTTTAAATAAATGATACATTGCTGCTTAAAGTCTTCGTGAGGGACTGGAGAGGTGACCCAGTGGTTAAGTATCTGCTTCTCTGGAGGACCAGAGTTGAGTTCCCAGCACCATGTGGCAGCTCACAACTGCCTGGAACTCCAGCTCCATGGGATCTGGCTCCCTCACACAGGTGTACATGCAGGCAAAACATCAATGCACAGACAATGAAAATAAATCATTTAAAATTTTGTAAATGTTTATGAGCATATGGAAATTGATTTTGCCTGTTGAACTTTCAGAAGCAGCTTTTAAACATGTCGAGTTGCTGTTGATTCTGTAGTATAGATGTCAAAAATGGCAATTTCTTTTCTCTCATTAACATTGTTACACATGTTTTTTGGTTATTGATTTATCACACTGCAAAGAGCACTCTGAACAATGTCAAGTAAAGATGCTAATTGTAATCTGAAGGAAGGGTCCTCTTCACTGTAGAGTTCCATGCTTGACATACATTTCTTATCTATACTCATGTTTGGATTCAGAAATCCCCCATGGCTGCTTTACTAAGGGTTGTGTGTGTGTGTGTGTCAATGAATAGGTGGTAGAAACTTATAAAATACACGCTTTGTGTCTACTGAGATTATTATATAACTTCTTTGTTTAGTTTATGATGATAAGCACATTGATTTTATGATGTCGGATTATATTTGACATATTGTAGTACATGTCATCATGTAGTAATCTGACATAATGTCACATTTACATTTGAAGACTAAATCTAGAGCTGGGGATGTAGCTCAGCCAGTAGAATACTCGCCTGGCATGCCTGCAGCAACTCTGAACTCAACCCATAGCGTCATATAAATCCCAAGTAGTGGAACAGCCTTGTAATCTCAATATTAAGACACTTCGAGGGGCAAGGGGATCAAAAGTTCAAAGGTCATCCTCAGCTAAAGCATGTTAGAGGCCAGCCTATGGAGGAGGAGAAGCAGCAGCAACAATTGAATTTGGTGCGTGGGTGATTTCTGCATCTCTGTTTATGGTAGTAAACCTTCAGTATTCCTTTCAGATTGGGAGCTGGTATCAAAGTTTTATTTTGGAATCGCCACCCTTTTCTCCCTTCTTTGAAAGAGCTCACATAAATTTGGTGTGACTTATTCCTTAAGTCTTCAGTTGATGCAGACATTAGTTTTAAGAACAAGATGCTGTGGTTAAGACCAATGCAGTCCAAGTGGTGTCTACAGCAGGCTCACAGCACCGGAAGATGGAGATGGGAACCCATCTTCCATGTTATGTTCCTGGGGAAAAGGTAGACCAGTAGTCCAAAGACATTTAATATACAGAGTGAGCTTGTATTTTATACAAAGGGGTACAAAATGAATGTTACTACAGGAAACTCGTTACTACTGACTGTATTTGCAGAAGTGGACCACGGTGTGGTTGGCAGTCAGAGTTCAACATCTTCCCCCTTGCTGAGGCAGGGTCTCTCTCTTGCTTCTGCCGCTGTACTGCAATCACTAGGCTGGGTGACACTTGAGTTTTCGGCTCATTTCCCTGTTTCTGTTTTTCAAAAAATGTAGGTGTGTTGGGCTTACAGATGTGGGCGCCACCCCTGGCTGTTTACGTCGCTTCAGGACCTGGAACCCAGGTCATCAGGCTTGTGCAAAAAGCTCTTTCACCTACAGAGTCATCACCCTGGTCTCATACCTCGATTCTTAACCCCCAGGAATCTTGAGATAAAAAAAAAAAAAAAGTTTGATGTTTTAAACTAAAATTTGGAGTGATTGGGAATGCAGCAATGGGTAACAATTTCACACCAGTTCTGAGTGGGCAACAGCACTTCAGAAACCCCGTCCTAGCTCTGCACTTTCCCAGCGAAGTAAAATCCCTTGTTTAGATTCAGATCTGGATACATGTATATAAATACAAAATAAATGTCACACTTTGGAGTTCGTGGACACTTGGTGGGTATTTTCATGGTCTACTATACACATGCGTAGACACACCTGAATTTTAATTTTGTGTATGGTTTACCTGTATATTAGTGGATATAGTAACTCTGTGATTCCTATAGAGAAAACAATTAATATTGTGGTTGTTTCTAAGCGTTCTTATCCATACATCTGTTAAATTGAACCAATAGTTCCTAGAAGTGGAAGACAGTAATTTGCTGAGATGTCACTCGGGAACTTTCCCCAGAGAAGTCTGGAAATGGAGAGTTTCCACACGAGATTCAGCACCTGGACTCCTTTTAACAACCGGTCCTTAAACAGACAGGTGAGTTCCATTCTCTACAGAAGACGTGAGTTCAATTGGTAAAGTCAGTTTTACTGAGTACGTTGAGTCTTATGCTATCATGTTTTTTAAAGAAAAATCATTTAGCTTTTGAGTCTTTTTTTTTTTTAATAAACCTGACTATGTCTCAGAGTGAGAGGCTCCTCGCCCAGGACTCTGTTACCCAGGAAGGCACCACATCTGCCCCCACCTCCCCTCAACTCTGCTCCTCCAGGACACCGTGGGCTTCTGTGGTTGGGGGAGGGAAGTAAGGGAAGGGCTTCTGAGAGGTGGCAAGGGCACTTTCATGTATGTGTCTATGTGTCTTTCATCTGTTCTTCTATCGTATGCACACTGCATGATTCCACGGAGCCCCGGAGCGCCTGTTCTTTTGAAAAGTAATTCAAGAAGAATTCTTTGAACTGTAGGGCAGTGTTGCCAGATTTTCATGGAGACTGAGTTCACGTGGGTTCAGCTGCTTCCACATAGTGGGAGGCGAGGAGGTAGCTGGCAGATTAAACTTGATCAACAGTAAAGACGATGGGTTTGCATATGTCTTTGTGTAAGAAAGTCAGGCTGAGACCAGGCTTTCAGAGATGTTGGTTCACCGTGTCTGTCCTCACTGGAGACACAGCTCACAAAGGTATTGTGCAGTTATTGCTCATTTTCAGCTTCATGGGCATTATAAAGCTCCAGATCTAAGAGCAAAGAAACCAAATCCTTACTGAATGGTACTGATTCCACCATTCAGGGAGTAGGGCCTGTAGACAAGGAGGAACACTTGGATTCTTGCCCTGGGCCACACTAACCTAGGTAAACACAGGAGCAGTGGCTCATCGTTGCCCTTTGTTCTCAGGAGGCTCTTCCCGGCCCCTCCGTAATTATACACCCCCAGGTTTTCCCCACTGGCCCACTGACAAGCCCTGGCTTGCCTGGATGGCTGAATAAAAACACCTGAAGGCCAAAGCAGAGCCCCTCCAGCATGCGTGAAAATTACCTGTGAACTGCCGTGAGCACGCGACTATTAGCTGTGAGGTTATTAGCTGGCCGACTGCTTAGCAACTGAGACCTTCTGGAAGCCGACAGTGAAATCTCGTTTTTGTCTCTTCTAGCTCTTTCAAGAAAGAGTTACTCTCATAAGTCACTGGTTTGGCCTCTGGACCCACAAGCAACGGCAGGAGTTCTTATTCGCAATTCTTTCACAATGCTCTAAGTCACAGCTCAGGTAAAAATAGCATAAGGATAGAATTATTGGTTCTTAAGCTAAACTATGGTAACATGTTTATATAACCCTTAAGGAGTTTTTCCTCTTTTCTCTATAAAAAAAAAATGAGGCCATTGTTATTTTACAGTTTATGAACAGATCCTTCTAGTGCCTGCTTCCTCTTTGAGTCTGAAACAGAGCCCAGGGGGCTTAACACCTTCATACCAGTGGGCGGCTGTTTCGTTTTTTTGCAAACATTTGTCAGTGGCTTGGTCTTTTCTCCTGGTCTATTAAATTCTTCTTGGAGCTATCAGATAGACAATATATGTCAGATGGATAGACAGTTCATAACGATTATTAAACAATGGATGGGTCAAAAAATGTAAAAAGGGACAGTACTAGTGACCGTTAGGGTTATGGACAAGATATGCAGCTGACGAATTGTTTGTGGATTCCTGTTCTTATTTCTCCCTTCCCCTTTGGCACAGATAGTGTGACATTTGTTAGTTGAAATCACAGCCAGGGAGGCTAATGTTCTCATCAGAAATTAGTATTCTAGAGGTCATTAGCTTTCTCTCTCTCTCTCTTAGATTTATTAATTTATTATGTATGCAATGTTCTGTCTACATGCATGCCTGCACACAAGAAGAGGGCATCAGATCTCATTATACACGGTTTTGAGCCACCATGATGTTGCTGAGAATTGCATTCAGGACCTCTGGAAGAAGGGCCAGTGCTCAGTCTCTGAGCCATCTCCCCAGCCCTTCATTAGCTTTCTCATATTGAGAAAGTCACAATGGTTCTGCAAATCCCAGATATTTCCCAGGTAGCAGAGCAAACATCAGACTCAAGAGGTAATCAGATCAACCAGGGAATATTAAACAGCCAGCTAAATGTCAGAAATACTCAAGATGTGTGGCTAACCAATATATTCTAGAAAGCCCCTCAGCGTGCCTGAACCTGACCGAAGAACCTAGCTGGGCCAGTAGCAGGTGCTGTAAGGATGGTTTTGCAGGATTCACCCCCAAAGAGGTGCTCTTGAGTCCTTCTGGGATAACTGCTGGTAACTTCAGCCAACCATCATAATTCGATAGCGTTTCTGAGATGTTGTTCTTTGTCCATGAAGTGAAACTCTTTACAACTCTGTCAAGCCCGCAGAGGAGACTTGAGGAAGTGACTTATTTCCTACAGTTTGCTTCGTGAAACTGGGTATGTCATCAGTTGGGGTTAGTTGATTTCACTCTGAGCTCAAGGAGAAACTAACCTTCAATTTCTTATAAAACTATCAGAAATCATCAAGAGGTAGGAGTGGTCAAACTGGCTTCTTCTCCCAAAACTGCCTTCTACCCTTCCTTCCAGCTGCCCCTGCCCATCACACTGAGATCAGTTATTTATTTTTTCTCTTCTCCACTGGCTATCGCTCCTGTATCTGTGCTCATAGAACAGAACGTTCACTGAGGCTTCCTGGGGGGGGGGGGGGTCACTGGAAGGAGACAGCTCCCTGGCTGTGTTGAGTGAATTGCGAAGATTCTTTTATTTAAATAATCTTTATTTACTTAAAGTGTGTGTCTTGGAAAGGGGGTACCAACAGAAGCCTGAAGAGTCTGTCAGATCCTTCGGAGATGGGATGATAGGCATCTGTAAGATGCTGTACAACGTGGGAATGGAACCCTGCTCCTCTGGAAGAGCTGTGTGTGCTCTTGACCACTGAGATTGCTCCCAGCCCTAGCACAGGCTCTGCAGTCAGTGTCTGAAGGTCAGAAAGGCAGGTTTCCCCATTGTTATTTGCTGTCATTCCTTTTACCCTACCTTGCAGCTTTCCAGAAAAAAAATAATAATAACCTACCAAACCTCATAATCCATCATCACTTTGCACAGTTCATTCCCATCTCAGGGACCATAAACCAGCAGTTTCTGCTGTAACCACTGGAGGTCATTAGAGATCTTGTGGTATGTTTGAGGCCTGACAGTCAGCCGGTCACTGGAAATTGCACCCTTGGCTACCTGGATTCTTCTTTCTGCGGGATAAGCATGTGTGACCAACGTGTTCTGTAGAATGTCTTTGTTTTGCTTGACAGCAGCTGTGTTCCCACGGAGGGAGCGACCAGTGAGTCATAGCTCATGCAGCTGTTAGCATGCTCTGGAGTGCTGATCTCACAGGAAGTTGTATGTGAGTTGCTGGTTTCTGGATCTGACTTCTGAGGTCATCTTTAAACTGTAGGGACGGTTTTGTTATTGAAACAGTCTGTTTCTCTTCACGCTCCCCCCCTTCCCAGTTCAGGCTTTCACACTTGGAAGACTTCACCCACCCTCAACGGTTCCCAAAGGTTCACTGTGGGTCGCTAACTAATTCAATTAGAGCTGTGTTTCATGTTCTAGAAGCTCAGCTCAGTTCTGAACAAGTTAACGGAATCAGCTCCCTTTAAAACATCTTTATCAAAATAAATAAAATACATCTTTATCGAGATACAATTTGTGTATGATAGCATTTGACAACCGCAGGATTCAAGTCATTAGTTTTAGGACCTGCTCAGATTTGTGAGGTCATCTACAATCTAAGTGTAACGCCTCGCCGTCCTTCCCAGAGCCCTCCTGGTCAATAGAAATCATTCTCCATCTCCAGTCGGTTCAAAGGTGCCGATACATGAGTCTATTTCCTGTGTCTCTAAATTTATCCCCTCTGGACCCTTTGTATAAACAGACCCAAGCAATACATGATTCTTTCATGTATTAAAATGTCAAGCAATGCATTTCATCGCACACTTGAGCGCTTTTCTTTCTGCCGACTAATATTCCACTGTGTGGGCTTGTCACTGTGTATCCCGTCATCAGCTGACAGACGTTTGGTTTGCGTCTCCTTCAGGCTGTTGAAGATCACATTCCTGTGAACTTCTGTATCCAATTTTTCTAAAGGGGTGCTTGCATTTATTTATCTATTGGTTATTTAAGACATAGTTTCTCCGTGTAGGCATGGCTGTCTGGAACTCTCTCTGTAGACCAGGCTGGCCTCAAACTCACAGAGATCTGCCTGTCTCCACCTCCTGAGTGCTTGCACTAAAGGTGTGCGCCACCTCCGCCTGGCTAAACTTAGAGCTACTTGTATTTTCCTCATTTTGTTTGTTTTTCTTTTCTGGCCCTTTGATCTTTTTAGCGTAGGTAGAAAAGGGCTTACTGGTAGAGTACTTGCCTAGCGTGTGCAAGGGCCTGAATCCAATCCTCATCATGGGGGAAAGAAGCTCTGAAGCATATATGTTTAGGAGTGAAATGAATGGCTCTAACCGTAACAGTGTTATGATTTATGGAGCGAGGACCGCGGTGGGTAACGCACAGACAGATTCGCCCTGCAGAGAGAGCTTGGGTATGGAGAGTTTATTTAGTGAGTATTGGGAGGGTATAAGAGTAGGGTGGTATGGGGAGGAAGAGACAGAGAAAGAGAAAAAGGGACCGAAAGAGGGGGAAGAGGAGGGGGAGGAGGGAGGCAGACAGCCGCCTTTTCAGAAAAGGAGCTGTACAGAGAGAAGGGAGAGTGGCTTTCAGTTGGGGGGGCGGAGCTTGGGAGTGGGCGGAGCTTGTCCCTTAAAGGAACAGGGTACTCAAGTGACAAAGCAGACCAGCACCATCATAATTATAACAAACAGAACCATCAAACTCTAGCTATTTATTCAGTGTTCTTTTCGAAGCCTCCTTATCCCTGCAGTCTTTCTCCTCCCATAACTGCAAACTTAATAAGAGAAGCATACATCACTTGGAAGCCTGAACTCTGTGTAAACTCTGCTGTCCTTACAGACCAATGCTTCTCCCAGGACAGGACCAGTGTTTGTTCGTTTGTTCATTTTACAATTTGTTTTTAAAAAATCCCTTTCAGAATATATATTCTGATCACACTTCTCCCCTTCTCCAAGTCCTCCCAGATCCCCCCCCCCTCTTCACACACCCACTCCACTCCCTTTCTTTGTCTGGAGACCATTGTTTTAAATGTTTATTTTGCCTTTTTCCAAATATGTTTTAATTCGGATAGCCACATTTATAAACATGGTATTTCAATATCAGTAGGAATATGTTATCCCATGTTTCTTTGAAACTTTATCCCTAATCTCTATGAGATAGATATATTTAAACATCTAAGATTTAACATTCCACTGTTAATTTTTAGGATGATCTTAAGTGGAATTTTTTTAACTAGGATATTTTTCGCTGATTAAGCGTCTCAGGCCATCCTTCTGGCCAGTGCTCCTCCTAGACTTCCCTCTCCTGGAAGTGTGTTTGTCCCTCCATCACGCGGTTTCCCTGGGACAAAACAGGCCTCATGGCTCCCACTGGCGTCTGCCTTCTTCCACTTGACTCTGAAGGCAAATGGGCTGTCACACTTGGAGAAGCCTCGGAGGACTGTGACTTGCTCTCCCTGCTGCACTGGTGGGACCGGTTTTAAATTGCTTCTGCCCAGCTGCCAGCATTGCCTTCCTACAAAGGCCTTTCATTCCGGACCTGGAGAAGTTTAAACTTGTTGCCTTCCTGGGTGGGTGGGGCCCCGCTCACACAACAGCGTTTCTAGAGGTGGGGGAGGGAGGGAAGAACGAAGGTCTGGAGCAACGCAAGAGAGATCAATCACCTCTGGCCATCTGTCTCCATCCGAGAAGAATGGACTTGCGGGCGGGCGGGCGGGCAAACATCTGCACCCAGGTACACTTAAGAACTCCAGTACACTCATCCGCTCTTTCCACGAGGAAAGGAAGGGAGGAAGTCTTACTTCTGTGTGTGGCCTGAAGAGGAAACCAGGTGTGCAGTTTTTCAGAGACAAGGCACTTCGTTTTAATTTGGAGCCCACACAGCTGGTCCCTCAGCGTTCAGAAACTCATTCTAATGGAGAATAGTTCCAAGCGGCAAGGAGAACGTTAAGGAAAAAATACATTTAGTGATGGTCTAACCCTAAAACAGGATGGAACCAGCTTTTTAGGACCTTGACAATGGGCAGAGGGATCCCTGCTGTGGGATTTGCCCCCAGAGAAGGGTGCAGCTTGATC